TCCCTCATCCCATCCCCGCTCCTTCCTCAGATGCTGCACAGGCATTTTGCCTCTTCATCTGCCCCCCACCCCGTGACCTCCTCTCAGTCAGGGTCCCAGCAGCAAGCAGATGGTACACTCTGTGAGGATTCTCCAGGGAGTGTTTACCTACAAAGGGGCCTATTACAAGGTGAGAAGTGCCTGTAGGAGAACCTCAAGGGATGGTGTAGGAACCAGTGTCTGGACCTAAAGGAAGGAGAGAAGGAGAGGTCCCTTAGGTCTAGAAAGAGAATCCCGCATTGTCTTGAGAAGAGCAGAGACCTTCAGGCAACCACAGAGGGAGGAACCCAGCAGAGTGAATACTCTGACCTCAGACTCCCCTCCAGTCTCCTGCCAGGGCTCCCCTCTGTCAGAACCCAACCAGAATCCAAATGATCTGGGACCCCTTGATATAATGCATACACATCTGCCTCCTGGGGCTGAGACCAGAGTAGAGAGGAAGAGTGAATGTGGATGGGCCTATGGAGAGTCAGCTGCAGACTCTGTGATTTCCGTTACTTAGAGTCTCTCCTTACCCACCAGCTCATGGGGGTGGGCACCATCCCTCTGCATCTCTGTACCCATGTCTAATGGCAGTTAATGTGAAGCCTGGGCTCAGTGAACTCGTGTGAGTGAGGGAGCAGTAGTGACACAACCCATCCAATGGTTTTGTTATCCTAGAAGTGGGAAAGGTTGGCCTGGGTCATCTTCATTCCCCTCTTAGTCACCAATAGCATTGATCAAGGGGTGCCAGTGGGCCACAAACAGATGTTTTTCAGCATGTGCTCCAGTGCTGGGGCTGGTGTCATCTACACTGCATTCTGAGTGGGCTATCCGGCCCAGACTCCAGCATCCTGACCTTGCACCAGCCAACACCAGCCACCAGCAGCTGACTTGCGTTATTCTCTTGTTCATTTGTTGATGCCTGCGTTCATTTATCTGTTAAGCATTCATTAAGCACCTACAAGTATATGGCAAGGGTTTCAAACTTATGTGCCTATAGGGGCCAGGCAGAGAAAGTAAGCAAAAGCAGCAGCCCTGGTTTAAGGAAATAGAGAGCAGTGCCCCTTTAAAGAGGGTGGCTCCACCCTTTCTGCAGAAATGCACCCCCATATTGCTTTATCTTCCTCTCCCTTTCTTTTTATTTTCACAAAGAAGACAGATTTCCGGCTTGATCTGAAGTCTTTTTAAATTTATTTTTTATTTTATATTGGGGGTATAGTTGATTTACAATGTTGCATTAGTTTCAGGTGTACAGCAAAGTGATTCAGTTATACATATACATATATCCGTTCTTTTAATCTGAAGTCTTTTTAAATGTCATCTATCAATTTTGTTTGTTTTCTGATTGTTTCCCTGTAGGCACCAGTTTATACCCTCTGATGTTCAGGGAACCAGAGACCAGATACCATGATACATGGAAGGACCCTACTCCCCACAAGTAACTCTAAGACAATGTGGGAAAAAAGTGTCTAAAGAGAGGTAGAGAGAACACATCATGGGAACAATTCTTCACGCTGCTGGTGACAAATCTCCCCATGACCAACCCACCCATGCAGCCTTGGCTCAATTGTGCCCCGACTTGGAAACCCGACTTTGGAAACACAACGTGTGAGGCTTTGTGACTTTGATTAGAATGACATCACTATGGGACAGCCACATTCTTTCCCAAGACCAAAAAGTTCCTCTCAACAAAGGGTGAAAGAAAACCATTGTTTACTTATGCTCCATTCTTCTTAATTTCTGATATTCTTTTAGACTACTGCCAAGTCCAAATGAAAAGTTGTTCTGATGTAATAACTATAGACTTTGATCTGAACTCACCAAAGCCATTGTGAAGAATTTCAGAGCAGAACCCCTTGAGTAACAAGTCATCAAATGAATGGGAGCCTTGACTTTTTTTAAAACTTTACCAGGAAGTTGGTCTTAAGAGTGAAAATGAGCTTTTCCCCAGAAGTAAACACTTGTCACAAACACTTAAAATGACATTTTCTCTAACGTTTTTTTCCTTATAAGGAGCATGGATTTCACACCTGGGAGCGGATGCATTACTGTCTCTGCCCTTTGATCATGGCCTTGGCTTCACACAGATAAACTTGGGACCAGCTCCTTGATCTCACTACTCCGGGTCTGTAATTTCGATAGGTCTTCCACATTTCCTGGGGCAACACCTAAAATGCCTGCTGCCCTAAACCCCTTACTGGCCTGGGGTGGTTGTATAACTTGTCACACCCACTGGATCACTTGCAGGTTGAAAGGGTCATCGTTTGACCAGGAAAACAAGCATTAGCCTTGACTGTCCTGGGCCAGTTGTGCTGTAAGGCCGTCCTGCCTGAAGAAAAGTGGGAGAGGTTCAACATGATGGAGACCTCTTCACACAGGATCACTATGCAGGAAAACGGGCAGGGAATGATTAGTCATCGGTGGGCTGGCAGTGGCCTCAGGTACCCCCACTCCAGAGAAAGCAGAATAATTGCAAAGTCATGGAGACTGGGCCTGGCATCCCAATACGTGTGGGAACCCTCATCAGACTGCTGACATCCTTCTCTCCCTATAGTTTCCCTACAGGGTGACCTGAAACCCACTTGTACAGCAATATTTATGGTCTCTGTCTCTCTGTCTCTCTCTCACATGTGCTTTTTGACACTAACATGATGAATTATAGACTGTATCTAGTCTTTCCAGAAGTTTCCGTGTCAACTAATGATCTGGGCAAGGAGACGGCTGGGGAATTCTTAACCAGCTAAGAAAATGACAGCTCACCATATGGGCCACGCTCCTGAGGGCCCTGGCTGGGAATGTCTGGCCACATTTGGCATATTTCCTTTTGATTCTCAGTGTCTACAATGTTCAGATATGGATAAAATAGTAATATTATTATTCATATCATAATAGATGCTAAGAATATTGGCTATCGTGCATTAAGCACCGTTCTGGACAAGCATCATACTAGGCATCCATACGTATAATACGGTCCAAACCTTATAATCCTATAAAGAAGACATACTTATCTCTGTTCTACAGATGAGGGCACTGAGGCTCAGAGAGGTTAACTGTCTTGCACACAGCTGGGCTCAGCGTTGGTGTTGACTTCCCCCAGAATCTGCCGAAAAGTGATAAATCCCAAGCCCTATCTTTGCCTTAAAAAAGTTAAGTTTGTTTCTTAAGCAATCTTGCAAATCACTCTTACTAACTGTCAAAGTTTATGTAGGAGGCTAGCAAATAGGATTATGTCATTCCCTCCCCAAACACTGGGGGGCAAGGTGGCAAAAATGAGTATACCCTAAAGACAATAGCATTTTTATTCTGCCATCACATGAGTGGGCTCTTACAAATGTCCCATTTATTCACCAAGACTTTGCTGGCTACTTTATAAGTGTAAAACTAAGAAATACAGCACAGGAAACAATATTTTGAGCACATTTAAATTGGGATAATCATGAGAATTGGTCCAGTGCATGTTTCAGCGTGTTCGCAAGATGCAAGTGCCCTGCTCAACTCCTCTGCTGACGCTGTGTACCTGAGGGCTAGCCACGTGTTTGGGTCACAACTGCTGAGTCCCCAGAAGGAACAGTTCCCCAGGCACCGGCAGCTGGAAAGAGCCAAGTGCCTGTGAGAAGAACCTGGTTGAGAATTCTCAGCAAGATTTTCTCTATTTCCTTTCCCTTCCTCTCTCTGAACCAGGGATTCTACGGGGTGAGTGCTTATGGCCGATGCTCTCTACCCAACGTGCGCCCGCAGCTTAGAAATGGACGCAGTGGCTTGCAAGATCAGTGACGATAAACACAGGGCAGAATTGACTGATCCCTGGCGTGAGTCAACGTGGATGTTTCATCCCTCCATTCTGAGCACAAAGGGTGCTTAAAACTTTAATGAATTGAACTCTATGAGTAAGGGATGTTAATCATTTTAATTACCCAGCAGCTTGAAATCAGATATAACAGTCCAATAATGTATCTTTAAACGAATACAACCCTGCCCTATAAAAAATCCCTTCCAAACCCATTCTAATAATTTCTATTTATCTTTTCTGACGTTAACTGTTATCCAGCCCAGCCGGCCAACAGACAGCCTCCCCCTCACATTTGGTTTAAATGCAATGCCGTCTAGTTTCTCAATATCACTAGCATCCCCCTGGTGGGCAGAGAGCAAGGCGGTGGCACTGGTCACACTTCACTGCTTTATCTCATATGACAGAGAGGGCTGCTGTGCTTCAATCCAGGCCAGCCTGGCAGAGGGGAAGGTGGCCGCAGAGATCTCCCCCTGCTGCCGAGAAACACCAAAGGGCCCCTCCATGTGACTTGCTAACAGCATGAAGGGGCAGACAAATAGATTTTCCTCTATATTTATAACCAGCATCATTCTTCCTTCTGAGGCATTCGGTGCAGGTAGCTGTTTTATATGAAATGAACAATCTTTATAGACGTACCAGAGCCATAACAAGCCTGATTTTCAGCGAAGCTGAGGTATATAACTCTTACCGAATTGTCAGGCTCCTTGCTCAACAAATCAAGCCTAACTTATGATGTTTGTAGTGTAATTTTTATTCCTGTTTGACTAGCCAACTACCCGGTGGTAATAGGATGTTAGGAAAGGGCAGTGGCGATGTTTGTGCATGCCGTGATTGATAGGCCAGCTCAGTATTTTTCATTTATATCTCCGGATTCCAAATCAGTTAAGTTTAGGAAAAATGAAACAAAGTGGCAAGAAAAATGTTTGCAGATTGCAGACCGGCGCTCCCGCAGATCTGAGTTCAGCCCACATCTGCCGGGATTGTCTGGAAACATTAAGTTATCTAAATGGAAATCAATACTATATGTGCCAGGCATTTACTACCAGGAACAAGCATCAGGAGACTTGAGCTAATCAGACTTCCAGCCTGTGCCTCCGCCATAGACTCAACCTCAGGGGTGTCCTAATTGCCCAGACTAATCATAGAAGAGTTAAATTTATATCCGAGAAAGACATCTTGTTTTTCTTACCAGTCATCATTTAGGAGCAGGAAGGTTCACCTGTGAGGTGGGTGCCAGATGTACGGTGGGAAGCCCCATGCACGGGAGGATGTCTCCTCACCTGTCAGAGGAGAGAGAAGACGGATTTACCATCAGCCGTAAAACCAGTCAGCCTCCGGGTGGGAGAGACGTGAACCAGCTCACAGACGAGCTGCAAGTTTTCTCACTTACAGGCTCTCCACTTAACCCCGTGTTCTGGAACATGAAAGGAGAGGGCCGTGCATCCACAAGGCCCCTGCACGCTTTGATCCCCACCCCGGTTTTTTACTCTAAGGAAATAGTGCAGGAAAGCAAGTAGCGTTAAGTGATGTTAAAAATATATGCATCTGTTTTTCCCCTGAGTTCCACTCTCAGCTTTCATCCCTTGGAATCTCCAGAGGAGCTAATATCACTTTAAGACATGTATCTCCCTAATATACTGTACAAACAAGTCACCAATATTATTCACACTCCAACAAACTACAAAGTCACACAATAGCTACTGGATGAGCCCACACTATACTGCTGAAAAACCATAATGTATCAGGGGACTGTATTCCTAATATTTGCATTCTAGATGCCAACTGTGAGCATATTTTATACTATTTTCAACAAATTACACCAAAATATGCAAAATGTTTATAAGGCTCCATCTTCTATTTTTGGCTCCGGTATATTTGCAACTTAATAGTCCTTCAGAGATTTGTTTGTCTCCTCGGGAGAAATAGGAAAGTGGAAAATGCAAAGAAAGAGAACAAGAGAGAGGGAGAAGAAAAGAAAAAATGAATATGCTTTGTTTGTGCAACAAGTCGAGTTCTGCAAGTTTTTCGTAAAAGAGCAGAGCCAGCTGTCCTGCAGGCCCTTCTTCAACGAGAAATTTAATAACATTATTTGGATTCTTTGTGCCCTGGATTTCAGATGTATTTTTAATGCGTGTGTCTTAAAACAAAACAACCGTTGTCAAATGCTGTACTCTCTTCTCACCAGTTTAAATGGTTTCCGAGGCAGCAGAATTCTGGGAGCATCATAAGGGTTGTGATCAATGAAAGCTTGTGCCTTGCATCCTGTGGCCTCCCAAGGATGCTGTGCCCTTACCAGGGAAGGTTTGTCAGTGCTCCTCCCAGAAAAGTTGTCTCTGGTCTTCGCAACGTGAACCCTGAAAGCCTCTTGCCTTCTGTGCCTTTGTCCCTGCTTCCGTGCTCACACAGCTGGGCACAAGGACATAGCTTTCTTGTCTGCAGCCCGGTGAGAGGGCCATCCCTGATCGCCCTATGTCCGTGTAGCATTAGGGCTGATATGCTGGAGCAGAAGTCAGGATGCAGGCATTGAAAAGAATTCTGGGTCAGGGAGGGCAACAGTTTCCAGCTGCTGGATTACAAAACCGAGTCTGAAAGTTTTCAATCCAGCTTCTCTGTTAGAAAAGCTGAGAAAGAAAGACAGAAAGGTAGGGAGGAAGGGAGGAAGGAAGGAAGGAAGGAAGGAAGGGAAAGAAAGAGGGGGAAGGAGGGAGGGAGAAAGAAAGAAGGAAAGAAAGAAAGGAATATCTAATATTTCTAGGAATTGGGCCTCACGCCCTTGTTCTCTAACTAGACCAACCTCTCCTAAGAATACTGAAGCTTCAGCCAAATTCATTACTTAGCCAAAAATAATAAAGTCAGAGGAAGAAATATTTAAATGAATAAAGCCATATTCCTTGCCAGGCTTCACCTAAATAAACGGGAAGAAAGTAAAATGCCTCCCAAGTCTTTGTACTCACAGTGGGTCCCCAAAATGTTTTTGTAGGCTGGATAAACCGATGATACACGGGTGGATGAACGGGGAAGACTGTTCAGTTGGACACAGACCCAGAAGAGGTAAAACAACATCCTTCAAATGGAGAGACCAAGGAGGAAGTGATTCTCAGAACACGCCAGGCTGCAGGCTGGCAGGTTCACCTCCCAAAATGCTGTGCTGCTTGGCACCAAGCCCTGGGTCAGAGGACAGAGGCAGCCAGACCCTAATCTGCCTGGAGGACAACGTCCAACAGCTCCCGAGCCCTGAGCAGAATGACCCCCCACGTACTCATCTGTCAGATGGAGGCTGTTAGAAGAACAGGCTTGATGGGCCCAGGCCCCACTTAGGATGCAAAGATTTCTCCACCGCAATCCCCCCTCCACAGTCCTCCCCTGACCTGCTCGTGTGGCCGGGTTCCTCATGCACAAGGGCTGCTGTGCAATAGCCTGAGTGATGGAGAAATTTCCTGGGTCTCAGCAGAGGGAAGCCTGCTAGAGGCAGAGAAGCAAGGCAGGGCCACGAGCACAGAAAAGTCGATGGGGTTGGGGAGCCCCAGCTAACCAAGCAATAATAGAACTCCTGCTTATGGACGGTTCACCACATGCCAGGGGCCAGTCTTGCTGCTGTGCATGCGGGAACTCAGTGTCATTCTCACCACTGCCCCGTGAGGGGGTTCCATGGTTATCCTGCAGGGGAATTAAGTAATTTGGCAAGAATCTCAGAGTTGAGAGCGGTCAGCAGGGAGTCCATGCCGTGACCCCCTAGTGCTCTGTTGCTGAAGGGGGTGTCTGGGCGCCCAAGGACAAAGGCCATCACAAGGAGATAAGGTGACAGAGGGTGACCGAAGATGCAAATTGGACTACCTTTATATTACTTATAGAATGATAATAATAATGATGAAATGAATCCATGCCAAGCAAAAAGCTTGAGAATGGATGCTCAGCCAGAGCAGTGGTTCAGTAACGAGCTTCATGGAGAGGGAGGCCCAAATGGAAATGCAATTAGAATGGTTATAAGACAAACATTCGAGGGCTTTCAGCGGTGTGATTCGCTGGACTCTGGCCCCCAGTCGGACACTGGGGAAAGTTATTGCATTCGATTACCAAGGCTTTGGCTTCATTTCTCCAATATTCAAAAGGCTGTGATCGCACTGTCATCTCACAGTTAGAAAACCAGAAGGACAGGCACCGCCAGAGCCTGCTTCCTGGCGGCCTGGCCCTGCTAATGGACCAGCTGTGCCCCTCAAGCACCATCGCCAGCCCCAGCGGAGTGGACCCTTCTCGGTCCCACTTCCCACCAGACCCCAGACACAGGGAGCATTTGTAAAGTGCCCCTTCCCTTGTCTGGTGGTTCCAGAGGGAAGGGGCAAGAGAGCAGGGGACAGAGAGGGAAGACTGAGTCAGGAGCAGGACATGGCTTGTTGAATCCTAATAAATCAGAGTGTCCCCAGTAGGTAGAAGCAACAGGGGACCGCATGCTAGCCGAGCTGCACATTGACCCAAGGCAGAGCTCACAGAGAAATAATGTCCTCTTCAGCAGACTCCTGGAGAGATGGTCTGCATTTCTTCTGACAAATTAGAAGTGCCCTGAATGCAACCATTCCTCAGAAAATAGGCCTGATGTAGCAACGCATAAGCTGCCACTATCTTGCTGCATAAAAAGACCATTTAAGCGGGGCAGCCTTTAGAACACTGGCCCATTGGAGGAAGCATTTCTGAAAAATTACCCCCTCGACCGCCACCTAAACCAGTCACTACCCAAGGGAGAAGCCTCATTTACAACCGAGAAGACCGAGCAGGCTTCCATCAGAGGAAAGGCGTTGTTCGTTCGTCTTTGTTTTCTGTGAGAGTTTACTGCTTCCCTGGAGTCCCCAGTCCAGGGGAATGTTCATCCAGGACGCAGGAAATCTGCTTACCTGCCCTTATAGATCTATTGTTTGATATAAACTGCACACCCTGAGCTCTTCAGGACTTTGTTATCCACAAAGCCTGGCTCTAACCAAGCAAAACCTTTTGCCATGAGTTTTAGAAACTATTTTGAAATTTTAGAAAGTATTGCTTTTTTTGTCCTTTGGTTTTGCCCTGGCAATCTTTTCTGGAAACACGGTGGTAGGATGCCTGAGCTTGAGGGAGGGCTGGGCAGGGGCTGGGGGTAAGGAAAGGAGGGATGGAAACAAACTTGATTAAAATCTCAGAATTTAACCCCACAATTCTCAGAATTTAACCCCACAATTCTCAGAATTTTACCCCACAATTCTCAGAATTTTATCCCACAATTCTCCCCAATTCTGGATGGGATACCACTGACTCCATTCACAACTTGATTCAATGCTTTCTCCCCAGAGGGGTTCCCTGATCATCTGATGAAGAACAGCCCCATCAGCCTCTACCCTTCCCCTTCCTCTGCTGCATTTTTCATCTCAGCATCTGTTTCTCTGAGATATTACAATATGAACTTACTTGTTATTATTTCTTGCTCCACGCCCAGCATTGGAATGGAAGCTCCATGAGAGAAAGGACTTTGGCTCATTCACTGCGGGTTCTCAGTACCTAGAACAATACATGGCACATAGCTATGGTTCTATTAATACTTGTGAGTCAATAAGCAAATGAATAGACCTCGGGAACAGGACACTGTCAACTCCCAGGCTCTCACAAGGCAAAGAGGTGATACTTGTCACCAAAGGACACCTCCTGCAATCCTGTGTCTGGTGGAAAGAATCCAAATTCAAACTCAGAACTTACTTGCAAACAGCATTGTTTGTGACATAGCCCTGTGCAGCCGATCCAGTGTCCGGTTGAGGCAGCTTTTTGCTGTGCTCATTCTGTCAAATTCCAGAGTCGAACCTGATTTGGAAAACAAACCAGTCTAAAGAGATGTTGAAGGGAATAGGGAAGAAGAACCACAGAGCAGCAGTGCGCTCACTTTGACGGGATGTTTAATCAGAGGCTGGATGCACTTCTATCAGGGATGCTTCGAAAGGAATTCCAAAACGAGTGGGAGGTCAGAGATTAGAATCTAAGATTCCTCCTGACTTTTCAATGTTACTGTCTATGGTAGACAGAATAATGGCTCCCAAAAACGTCCACAACCAGAAGCCCAGAAGCTGTGAATATGCTACCTTACATGGCAAAAGGGACTTTGCAGATACGGTTTAAGGATATGAATCCTGGAGATGAGGAAGTTATCCTGGATTATCCAGGTGGTCCCAAACTAACCATCTGACTTCTTGGGGAAAAAAAAAAAAAGGAGGACATTTCCTGGCCTTGATCAGAGAGAAAGACAAAAGAAATGTCAGAGGGGTGAAACTCTGTTGTCTTTGAAGATGAAGGCCATGAGCCCAGGCATGAGGGCAGCCTCTAGAAGTGGGGAAAATGCAAGGAAATGAATTTTTTCCTAAAACCTCCAAAAGGAAGGCCTGGATTTCAGTCCAGTGAGAACTGTGTTGGACTTTTGGCCAACAGAACTAAAAGATAATAAATTTGAGTTGTTTAAGCCACTGAGTTTGGGGTAATTTGGTATAGCAGCAATAGAAGACTAATACACGGTTTATGACTTCTTGCACAAATAAAAGAAAAATTGTTGATCAGAAAACCCTGAGTTCCAAGATTATTCCCCTTTTGACCTCCAGCATGAAATACATGAGTTCCAATGAGGTGGGTCCCTACCTTAAGCTGAGCAAAGAAGCAAGAGACCAGGGAGAACATGCCAAGTTTAGAAGGGACACTCTGACCCAAGAGAGTTCAGTAGTTAGTCCATTTAAATCCTGGAAAGTATTTTATACTATTCTTAAATTAAAAATTTCAGAACCAGAAGGTGAACTCTTTTTCTCCTGTTAAATTGGAGAGATTTGGGTGACTCCCCTGAGTTCACAGCTCATATAATCCCATGTATCATTAGAACCAGAAAGTGGAAACATCATATCCAAGGTGGGGACTCGGCTGGAGAAAGAAGCTCATTAGTTCCTCTGCAGGAATCAGTCCTAATATTTCTTGTCTCAGAATAAAAGAAGAAGTCTTACTTCAGGAAGATGACAATACTATAAAAATCAGCCAATTTCCAGGCCACATTTGTCTGTGAAATGTATTCTTATCTCAACTCCCACCCAAGAGGCTTCAACCTGTCCATTTTGGAACCACAGCAAATATTCAGCTATGTTAAATTGAAAAAGGAATAACTTACCTTGTGACTCATTTTCATTGCATACCACATCCTATTCTATTTAATACCATTCATAGGTCCCACACATTGGGAAACCCCAGGCTACTTCATCAAACTCTGCAGCCTCCTCAGACTGAGACCCAGATCAGATTCAGCCCCTCCTCGTCCACATCTCCAACTGCTCTCTGTGTTCATCCTCCCTGCTCTCCAGCAAACTAACCCGAGTGTGCACATGTGGAGGCCACGTCAAAAATGAAATCTTGGCCCAGATCCAGCACTGACTTAGGCCCACCTGATAGATCTCCAAGTGCCCGAAATGTATAATTGGAATGGACATCCTTGGTAGTTGGTAAATCCCTAAATTTCTTCCTGGGGCCTTTGGGTGAGCAATATCACACTTCAGAAGGCCAAATGGAAGTCTCTTTTAAAACTGCTCCTGCACCAGCCAACAGATTCAATATGCATACGATAAAAGGGTGGTGGCCTCTGTCATATCTCATCTAATTCACCAGAATGACTGCCACAAGAGTCAGATCCTGAAGGATGACAGTGACCAATGTTAGTAAGGTACATGGACTCCAGAGGGTAGGAGATAAACCCTAAGAAAATTCAGAGACCCGTGAATCAATGAAGGTTTTAGGGATCCAGTGGCCAAAGACACACCAGAACTTCCCATCCAAATTAAAGGACAAATTATCACATCTCACATTTCTCACAAATAAAAAGAAAGCACTCTGTCAGTTTACCTCCATCCCAGGGTTCTAGAGGCAGTTATTCCATTTCAGAATATTGCTCCAATCCATTTGCTGAGCAACAAGAAAGTCTTACAACTTTGAGAGGGACCCAGCTCAGGAAAGGGCTCTGCGGCAAGTCCAGGATCCATGACCTGGCAGAGACAGCGTTATTATAGGTA